TGCATCAGAGCCCCATGTTTCAACTGTGTTGATTTTCACACCTTCAACTGGAAATCAATGTCAAAACTTTAGTTAATACATTACTTGCAAAAAAAAATCAGACGTTAAAATCTCGGACACTTTTCTGAAACATAACATATTAAGTAAATTTACGCCCTCAAAACGCGAATTATACTATTATTATACCTGTGCAAATGATAGTTTTACTGTACACTCAAGGTTTTACAGATACACCAACAAGAAAATGTAAGCAAAAATTCTTACGTATTTCAACAAGTGTCTCAATAAGAGTTCACTCCATAGAGGAAATGAAGAGCTTTGGAGCTACTTAAAAGTCTTAATCTGTACTGTACAGATTTCGGATGCTTAAAATTTCAGAAATTTAAAAATTTCGGACGGTTTTATTTCGGACACTTTCTCGTCCGAAATTAAAATTGTCAGAAATCTTTTGCAAGTAATGTACTTGTCTGTTTTCTTTTTTNTTGTGTCCCTTGATCATAGCATGCTGTGTTGCATCAGAGCCCCATGTTTTAACTGTGTTGATTTTCACACCTTCAACTGGAAATCAATGTCAAAACTTTGGTTAATACATTACTTGCAAAAAAAAATCGGATGTTAAAATCTCGGACACTTTTTATCGTGTTTCGGACACTTTGCTGAAAGATAACATATTAAGTAAATTTACGCCTTCAAAACGCGAATTATACTCTAACAACACCTGTGCAAATGATAGTTTTACTGTACACTCGAGGTTTTACAGATACACCAACAAGAAAATGTAAGCAAAAATTCTTACATATTTCAACAAGTGTCTCAATAAGAGTTCACTCCATAGAGGAAATGAAGAGCTTTGGAGCTACTTAAAAGTCTTAATCTGTACTGTACAGAATTCGGATGCTTAAAATTTCGGACACTTAAAATTTCGGACGGTTTTATTTCAACCACTTTCTTGTCCGAAATTAAAATTGTCAGAAATCTTTTGCAAGTAATGTACTTGTCTGTTTTCTTTTTTGTATGTAGTTACACTTTAAGGGTTGTTGAATTCTCCATTCACTCTTCTAAAACACACATTACGTCTGAAAATAAAAAAAATCCCCACGATGTTTCTTTTTTTCATCACAGCTTTTGGAAACAAAAGGTCTATGTAATCAATGTGAAAAACTGAAATCTTGCAAATTGGTCAATTTCGCAGCCTACTAAGCGTGTTGTAGATTGAGCATGTTGGTTAAATTAAAGATAAAAACTACCAGTAAAACTAGTTGTTTTTTGCATTACAGGAGCTTTGCTTTTGTATTTACAATACCTGTTCTTTCTGGTTCTCTTTGAAGTTGTCAGAGTCATTGGTCTAGCTGTTAGTGTGGAGCAAGCTTGTCCAGAAGCCCCTTGTATGTTTTCTTTTCGCCTTCAATAGAGTGATGTTCACAAACATACTTTTTTGCATTTGTTGTTATGTAATGGCAAAGTGAGGGAGATTCCTTTAACTCTTTGGCAAAGGTGACAAATTCCTTCAAGAGGAGAAGTAAAATTTCATCAGATGAGTACTGCACATTGTCAAAAGCTTGCCATCCCATGCCTATCTGCAGTACAAATACTTCTGACTTGTTATTGCAGGACTTCTTTATACATTGAACAACAATCAAACATTTCTAAAGTACATACTTCAGGTGTATTGAAGAGAAGTCCCGTCTCTCGGTGTTTTATCAGAGCAGAATTACCAGGGATATTCCGTGCCAGTACAGGTACACCCAATGCCATGGACTGTTATTTGAAGCAATTAAAAATTGTTAGTGTGATGCAAATTAAACCATCACTATGTTGAGTTGCTGTAAAAGTCGAAGACCAAATATATCTGAGTTTTAACAAGTAGCGACTCATAACCACTTTGTGAAAGGCAATTAAATGTTTGTTTATTAAGAAAACAATAAGATGTTAAAAGAGCTCTCAAAAATAAAATGTAATTGAAGGATTTCGTGCAACAAGGGCGTATATCACTTTTGGGATCGAGCTGAGTTTTTTGGCATACATTATTTCTCCAAAACGAAGCCCAAATTACCAAAAACAATTACAGAACGATGCTTTTCATGTTAAAACAAGTCAGTCAATTAGCTTGATCCTGAAAAAATGAAAATCGGCCCAAAAAGCGATATGCCCCCTTCTTGCACGAAACCCATCAATTATTATGTATGTATGTATGTCTACATGTATATGCCAGGAAATTAATGAATATTAAATAATAATGTATATTAACAAAACAGTGACAAGTGAACGTATCAGTTACATACCTCTAGAACTGCAGATGCCATTCCTTCACTGGTTGAACTGTTGACAACGGCAAAGCAAGTTTGCATTGCTGCATGAAGGTCACAAGCTTGTAATGATGGCAATACAATGACTCCAGGAAATCTGAAAGATATTCAAACACACCAAATAGGTTTTAGTTTCACCATTTTCACATTTCTTTCATAATACAGCATACATTAACAGTTGTTTCTCATACCACCAAATTGTGTCAATTCTAAAAATTTTCTTGAGGAACCCTTTAACTAAAGTTAAAAAAAATACCCATGTACATGTAGCTGGTATTACAGTTACTATTAAAAATTGTACCTCTGGACTTTGCATTTGACCTCTCTCGCAAATTCAGTGTGAAGCTAAAAATTGAAAAATTATCAAAACAGTCAAACAATTGAAAGTGTTTTGCCAGGTTGCCTCAACAGGTCACTGGTACCCATGACCACTCCTGGGTGAGGAAAAGCACTCTGTGAAAAACAGTGTCTTGTCCAAAATCAAAACACAATGACTGAGGCTGTCACTTGATCCTAGGCCGCTTGATTTGGAGACTCTTAGGCCAGCTCATCTCTCATGTGGTACACTGTACAACAAGGAAATATTTCTAGCCTAGATGATGATTTTATTCCAAATTATTCTCATCACCTCTTGAACAGCTTGGCTTAATTGTGCCGATATTTTCTTCTTACAATATCAACATATAATCATGTGCATCATTTTTGAATGGATCACAGAGTTAATGAGTACTGACTAACCTCTGGTCCAACTACAACCAAGTGGACAAGATGGTCCTCTTTATGCCACTCTAAACAATAGTAAGTAAAAGTAACAAATATTAGCCATTGTAATAAAAATGTAATGAAGAAACAATGATGAAACTAAAAAAGCTTCTACTGTCTTAAGGGTAAAAGAAAACAGACTGAACAGCCTTTAGTCGGAGTGCAAGAGCTGACTAAATTAAACACAGTGTCTTAATAGACATGTTGCCCAATACCAGACCACTGGCAATGAGGACAACTTCAGTCAATTCTCTGGATACTTGTTCTGGCTTCAGTTCTTTTGCAACAATTATACAGTGTCCACAAATATGTCTAATCAATCAACTGATAATGTTCCATTAATCTTAACTAGACATATTCTGATAAGCTCAGTAAGTAAGTATCACCCAAGCTGAGACTCAAATTTTAATGTGTTCCTCTTGCAAGACAGGGAAGATTAAATTGTTCTCATAATGTTACACACCTGGCAGAAGGACTCCCATATAAAATGGACGGGGGTGCTCACTGGAAATTTAAAAAAAATACCCAGAAGACCAAGATCCTGTTTTGTGGGCATGGCTTGAAGTTTTTTTCACCCCTAAGAGGTACCCATTCTGAATCAACACCTTACTTGACACTTTCTTAATTTTAAATACCGATAAAGATGAATGTTTTGAACCTTCTACTCATACAATACATACATACATACATACAAGTTATTTCCCCTCATAAATTGTCAAATATCTCCCCTCATATTTTTTTCAGCCTAATACCCTGAAAGGTACCAAGAAAGCACCCGCTGAGAACCTTTTGAGCCTTAACAACATAACAGGTAGCAAAACCAAGTTTTTAACCCCTAAAAGGTACAAAAAGCACCCCTGTTCTTTTTATATGGGAGTTGCCCCCTCCTGGCGTTACACAAACCTGCTATTGATGCTGCCAAGTAAAGTGGATCTTTAACTGGTCTTAAACCAGCAACCAACAGAAACACAACCTATGTAAAAGATATTTGATGCCTGTTTCAGTTCAAGACTTACTGTGATTGTGAACTGGTAAGACCCTCCTAACAAATCGTACACATGATTTAAGATTTGAATTTAGTACTTTTTGAGTAATAATAAGTAATTTTTAGGCCTTTGACCAATGGTGAATTAGTGCAAGAATTTGTTACAGAGTTACATGCATGCAACCTATCCATGTAGGATTTATAAATGTAACTGAAAATATTGAAGTCAAAACAACTGGGTGTGGATTCACTACCAGCCCTATTGGAAAGGAAATTCCAGGGGTTGGGAGGGTTTAAACTAAAGTACCATCCATGGTGGGGGTACATCATGGATATTTTTTGGAATCTCGCATTCTACTGGTTTATCTCAAAATTTTGTGAGGTCAGTATTCGAAAAAGTGACGAAAGAACATCTCATTGAATCTGATATTCTTTGGAATTACCAACCTACCATGCCAGGGCTCTCATGTTCAATGCAACCATTTAGCATTGGACACCGCTTCTGTGGATCTATGAAAAAAGAGAAACAACTAATCAAAATAATAAAAAAATTAATTAACCCTTTGAATACCAACTACGCATATATGCATAATTAATGGTCATGCTCTTTGTACCACTTGTGACGTCATCAATTTAAATGTCATCAGATATTCTTGATA